TTTACAAAAGTACATGTAAGAGGTTACAAACTATTTAAGGGACTTTCTCCAAAATAACGTTTTTACAGCAGGTTAACTCATTGCACCATTTTTTCTCATACAGAAATTATGTATTGAAAGATTTTATGCTTTTTTATGACTGACTTTGCGCCACCGATCTTGAAAACTTTTAACCCCGTAACTTTCTTATGGAATTAATTCAGAAGACGAGTAGTGGGACAAACTCGCTTTTGAGGTTGTGCTCCTTTTCAGTGCATAATAGTGTAGCATCAAAACCTTTAAAATATATTTTATTCGTATAGAAATTACGAAGATTTAATTTTACTTTATGAACTCCATCGGATTTACGACGGATATTTAGTTGCCAATTTTTTAGCCGAAACTTTCCAACTTTGAGATAACTATTTTACGAAGCAGTGTAAAAAAAATTGGCCCTCGTGAAGAATATAGCACTCAGAACACTTATTCTAACGCAAATGTTAAGAAATCGCTTAAACTTAGTTTGAGTAATGATAAGTTTTAAGAGTTATTTATAATGTTAATGTGGGAATTATAGAGTTAACTATTTTTTTTGGCCTAATATAAATGAAAGTGGATGAAAAAGTATTAGCGTCTTATGCTTTTCTGGCTAGTATGGGGAAATAACATAAAACTTTCAAAAAGAAAAAAAAATATTCAAAGGAATTTTCAACTAAGTATTTGGCTAATCCTTTCTAATGTAGTGTAACGCAGAGAAGGATACAAAAAAAAAAAAAAAACTTGAATAGATAGCTCCAAACGAGCCCGTTGCCACATAAAAATTGCTAATCGTCACCCATGGTAGTCCTTTCACCCTTAAATGTTCCAAGTAATGGAGGTATTCTCACTTAAGAAAGTGAAGATACAATTGAAAAAGAAACTGCACCATTTTTTTTTCAATGGAAGCGTATTCCTTCGTTTTTTATGATTCTAATCCACTAATTAACGAGTTTTTTGGTATGGCAGTTTAAAGACTTGGTAAGACCTGATGGGAATATCGTTTTCAAATGCCTTTGTCTGCAGACGATTTTCGATGTTCAGTCATAGAACTTTGAACTTTTGGAGGTGTGACAAGCTCGCGTTAGTAAGAAATTATTTGTAAGTAGAATATTTTTCTTTCATTTGCATAAATTATTAAGTGTGCTACTTATTATCAATCATTAGCAATTTGAAAAAAAAAATAGTAATTTAAGATTTTGAATTAGGATATGTTTCGCAATTGTTCCAAATCATTATTCGTTCATGCAGTCGTTATAAAATGACTACAATTTTTTATTTTGTGATTATGATTTTATAAAATAACAGTTTCATATACTGCGGCTGGCCAAATTTGAATTTTACCCTAAATTTTATTTTAATATACTGAAAACTTTATTTTAGCAATTTATTTGTTTTATTTATAATTGAAAAATATTCATATTTTTTGTAGAGCATAAACGATATTATCGTTTTATAAACGATGTTATTAAAATAATATTCCATTTTTTCCATATTATTTGAAAAATATTTTATTCTTTATTTTGTTTGAATAATATAATATTATCATATATATAATAATATTATCATATAATATAATATTATCATATATAATATTATCATATACCACAATATAGTATTTATCATTATATAATGATAAATACTTATGATACAAAAATTTAATTATACAATTTAATATATTTAATTTTTAATACCCATGGAAATTGAAACATTAATTTGTAAAGGTTATATATATATATATATATATGGGTGATTCATAAAATATGACAATTTACATTCACTTGCATCAAGATCTAATACTAAACTACTAAATGAACTTTTTTTTAAAAAAAATTTAATACATAGCATTTCTGTTAGCATTTTAAAATAACCTAGTACTAGCATCGTCTATTTTGTATATTTACAAAATTAAATTGAACTTCAAACTTTCATGTTTCTGGCATGTCACAAACAATGTTTCCAAATATAACTAGCTTCATAACTTCCCATAAATGTTTCAATATCTAATTTTTTATATCTGAACCAGTGTAAGCATTTCTAGAACATACGCAGAGGGTATTATTTACTAAAACTTCGTTTAAAATGACTTTTTCTGTCAATAATTTGTTTGTCATAAGAAAATCTGTCATTTTCCTGGCATCTTTTATTGAGTGGTTTATAACCAAAATAGTTAGAGACAGCAATCAATATCTTATATTAATAGATTGATCATATACCCTCCTATTTGAACTTGTCTTGTTGCATGAATAAAGAACCAACTTTCTGATTCAAAATCTGTTTCAAAACATTCTTCAAGGTGAGAAGATTCTTGTGTTGTCATTTTCCTGGCTTCTTGAAGTCATTAATAACATCAACTACATAGATTTATCTGAGTTACTTTAAGAAATCCTGTTGTTTTCTGCAGAATATAAACGTCTTAGGCCAAAATATTAAAGTAAAGTAAAGTTATATGCTATAAAATGGTGAATTTGTCATTATCCTGGCTGTCATTTACCCGGCCCATGAATGCCAGGACATTGAAGTGTTACCAGAATTTTTTTTTACTGCTAATACTGTGAAGAGAGAAAGCAAATATTAACCTATTACCAAGTTTATGTATGATTGTAATAAGATTGAATGTAATCAAAGTTATTTATTTATTTAATGATTGATTATTTTACACAATTTTATTCTGTACATATCAGCAACAAAAATTTTTTTGATTCTTTGTACAGTAGATAAATGTGTTCATTTAAGTTATTTATGGTTCATCTAACATAAAGGCTTAGGTTTTGTTACTTACTAATAGCTTAAAATGACAAACTTCAACTTCAAACTTCTAAGCTAATATGTTATTTTCCTAGCATTAAAAATGTGGTGAATTTCTATTTTATTTTTTTCTTGAACAAAGATCAATAAACTACACTGCTGTTTGTAAGATATTAGTAAATGTAACTAAATAAATATACAAAAAAAATTTTATTACTTTGATGACTTTAATGTTGAAGAAATGTTTTGTTTTGAATTGTCATGTTTTCTATGAATTACCCATATATATATTCCATATTGTACATTTCTAACTTGGACTGATAGTTAAGACACGGTTCCCAGTAGAACACCGAAGTTAAGCATCATTAGCAGCGGTCAGTAAACGAGTGGGATGACCACTTTGATCGAGCTGCGTTGGGTCCGAGAGTGCGCGGTACTGGCTCTCATGGGTTCTACCGTCAAATGCTTGAATTTTTTACAGTTCGTCGGGCTACCAAAGCGGGAGAGCCATCCCCTATGCAGAGGATCAAAATTGTGATAGCATGTTTAACGAATCCTGTTCAGGGATGTTTTCCAGACCGTCGACAATAGCCCACTGTGCAGCTCTAGTGAGATGTAAATAAAATACCTCTACCTACCTCTTACTTGTTCGATGGAATTACATTCATATAGACACAGCTTTATTTGTCTATGTTCATAATCAAATATGTGATTTGAATTCACTTCATTTTAATGACCTTAACGAAGAATAATTCCATGATGCAAATAATTTTTTACACATAAAACTAAAAATTTAATTCCCCAATAGATAAATTAAATTTCTGCTCTCACTTTTTTTTATTGACTGTGAGATTTTTATTTTTTAGTTTTTTTTTATCTTTAATTTTGATTTTAAAAAAATATTAGATGATATCTTGAAACAGTGCTTCCACCTGACACTGCACATTATTTATGTTGCTACAATGGAGCAACGTATGGATTAAAATTTAACAATTTCATTTAACTTTTCATCTACACTATCATAAGCAACACGATATACAAAAGCACAACATGGTAATTGGTAACAAAAACAAGATACTTTCAAATGTTTATTTGAAAAGAAAACGAGTCTAATATGCATTGGGCACCAATAGAGTATTAAAAAATTCCAATGGAGTTAGGCCAAGCTCGACCATTTTTTCTCGTCCCCACCTAAGAGCATATTGCAGAGCTGTATGTCCATATTTGTCTTTAGCATTAATATCGGCGCCTTGTGAAATCAAATACTCGATTATTTCATTTCTTTCAGCATGGAATAATGGTGTTTTATCATCGAAATCTTTGGCTTCAATGTCAGCACCATGTAATAGTAAAACTTCGACAATCTCCTTACTTCCTCTGAGGCATTCGTGCAGAGGCGTATTCCCCAAACTATTTCTAGCATTTACATTTGCGCCTTGGGAAATTAAAAATTCGATTATTTCTTTTCTATAAGCATAGAAAAGAGGTGTTGCCTCAAAGCTATTTTTCGCTTCAATATCAGCACCGTGTGATAGTAAAAGTTCGACAATTCCCTTACTTCTCCCAACAGCTTCATGCAGAGGTGTATCTTCGTGGATACTTTGAACGTTAATGTCAGCACCTTTTTCAATTAAAAATTCAACTACCTCCTCACTATCTGCAAAGAACAGAGGAGTCTCTCCACGTATATTTTTAGCTTCAATATCAGCTCCATGTGATATTAAAAGCTCGACCATCTCCTTTGTTTTTGCAACAGCTACGTGCAAAGGTGTTTCTCCATTACTACTTTCAGCTTTAACGTTGGCACCGTTTGAAATTAAAAGCTCGAATATATCCTTGTTATTAGCAAAAAACAGAGGTGTTCTATTATCCTTATTTTTAGCTTCAATATTAGCACCGTGTGATATTAATAGTTCTATAATCTCTTTTCTATCCTCTTTAACAATCTTGTGCAGAAATGTATCACCGCTCCTGTTTCTTGCTTCAAGATCAGCGCCCTGTTTAATCAAAAACTTTACTACCTCCGCACTATTAGCCAAGAATATTGGTGTTTCACCCCGATAGTTTTTAGCTTCGATATCAGCGCCGTTTGTTATTAAAATCTCTGTGATATCCTTATTAGCAGCATAGTGAAGAGGAGTCCGTCCTCTTATATCAGACTTATTTATAAATTTGCTTTTACTTTTTAACAGAGCATTGAGAAGTGTTAATAATCCTTTTTCTGCTGCTTCGTGTAATAAGGTTTTTACTGGTAATTTAGCTACTGAGGCAAGAAGCAATTGATTCATTGTTTCACACATGTCATCAATATTTGCTCCATTTTTTAAGAGTAAATCGGCAATATCCCAATGATCATTTTTATCAGCATATCTTATAGGCTTCCATCCGAAAAGGTCTTCAGCAGCAACGCTAACTCTGTGCTCTAATAAAGTCATGGTAACATCATAGTATCCATATGCAGCAGCTACGTGAAGTGCTGTTCTTCCTATCCTATCTTCAGCATTAGTGAAATCTTCTACATTGTCTGCATTTTTTAATAATTCCCTTACCTCCTTTTCATCGCCGTTTAAAACCGCAATATGCACTTCACAGTTGTTTCCCTCTTCAGTTACCATATGGTCAAAGAATATAGTGGTCAAGTCATACTTTTTTCCATAAATCTGATCGAAAAAATATTTCCTTATTTTTTCCCTTTTTACATTGTTAAAATAAAAAAGTGCAGCAAAATACTCAGCAAAACTGTGGTGAATGAATATTGGCTTTTCATCGACAATTTGACTAATGAAACCTGAATTTTCCTTTCCATCTTTTACCTGCTGTTTATATTTCTTCATTTCGGTTATTTTGTCATCTTCAAGAAACTTTTCTGAATCGTTTTCCCAAAGCAGTGCATCTAAAGATAACAAGGTATATTTTCGTAAAAACGATTCATGTAGTATTTCATATTCTGGTCCAGATTTTGTTGTATCTAATATCTGCTTTTCTGCAAGATGCCTTTTGTATTTCATTTCAACAAATAATTTATAAAGGTTGATAATACTTATTTTTTTCGACAAATTTAATTCATTTCTGTTGAACAATTTATAAGGGGTTTTGAATTCTTCCTGAAAAGCCTCAACCAGCATTTTTGTGTGCAAGGGTATTCCTGTAAATTCTTGAAATTTATCCGAAATGGGTTGCAGTACACTGTCAAGCAATTGTTTGGCGAAATTCTCAAAGTTCTCCTTAATACTTAGCTTCAGATTCTTATGGAAATAATTTTGAATCAGCAGCAACTGATCTTCTCTAGATAGTGGTCTTAAAGTATGCGATAGTACACTTAATATATCTTCTAGTTCATTTTTCATGTGTGGGCGTGTAGTTATCCAGAGTTTCTCTACTTTTGAATGCTTCAAAACTTTTAATAGTTCAACAACTTTTTCTTCGTATTTAGGAACTATTTCATCAAATCCATCAAATAACAAGGCAACTTTACCTGTAGTATTTAATCCGTGTTTAAATAACTCTTGCTCTAGAGGAGTGTTTACTAATGCTATGTCCATTATAAATTTAAAAATTGTGTTCTTGTCGTTATGAAAATCGACATTTGCTAACTTTCCAGTATAATCATTCAAGTTAATTCTCACAACCCAAAGTGTGGCATCTTTGTTTTTCATATTTTGTGCCAATTTAGTGAATGCAGTGGATTTCCCCGCACCAGACACTGAACTTATAACTACTATTCGCTCATGCAATTCACGACATTCATAACCATCGTCTGTGTCTAAATACCTGCGCAATCTGGATGTAGCACCCCGAGAATTTTGCCACATAAATCCTTTATCTTCTTCTTTCAGCCAATGAATATTTTGGTTTTCATGTTCAATAGAAAGTTTATCAAAATCGCTCCTGGAATCGGAAATCAGCAATATATCTTGATACTGTCTAAGTTCAGATGAATCAATCCGACCATTATAAGTAAGGTAGAAATTTATATCATTTTTAATGTATTTTTTAATTTTTGGCTGTGTAAAAATGCGATCAATATAGTAACTCTCAATATCACCCAATCTGGAAGTGCTTTACCTACCTCTATCGCTTCATTGTTTATAAGTTTAGATAATGTTTCTTCATCAACTAGATGTGACGACTCACTTGTTATTAATGTGCCCAAGCTTATCTTTCTCCCTTGAAAATAAATATCTTTTTCTAAAAGTTGCTGTTGAGAATCATAGGTTAAGTCATCAAGTTTAAATTTTTTATCATCCCATACTTCATAAATAAAATTATTATTATCTCCAAAATAAAATTTTAAATCATAATTCTTCTGGGAAAATAGAATAAACTTATACTTCGGTTTATCTTCGAAAGCCCTAAATAATAGTTTGAAATAAGTTTTTAATAGTTCTCTTTTTTCCACTGATACATTGTTACTTTCAACCACGAACAGCATAGAAACGTCCTTATCCGATTGCCTTACAAATTTATTTAACGGAAAAAACTGCTCTAAATTTAAAAGCTGCTTCAGACTGAGAAAAAAGGTTTGATACTCGTTTTTTGTCTTTTTCAAAACCTTATGTATTTTTTTATTCCTATTATAGGATGGTCTTTAAATATAAGATGCAAAAACTGCAAGTTTGCGTCTTTTAAGAATCCAGCAATAAACTCCATTGTAGCCTGTTTGAATTCAATACATTCAATTGACAGAAGATAATCTACAGATTGTTTTCTGTAAACATCATTAAAAGCATCCAGATTATCTAATTTAGATTTTATTTCATGGTGTATAGTTGGAAAAACAGACAGAGCGTTTTTGACGCAAATAATCAATTTTTGAAGTTTTTCTCCAATCCCGTATTTGATGAAACCTCTTCCTTCCCCCTGTTTCATTTCTAAACCTTGCAATATTTCTTCAATTATATTTGCATTCAATATTCCTTTTGTTTTTGTATCAAGAGAAGAAAATAAGTCATCAGCGTTAGAAAGCATCGAAAATTGCTTTAACCAGCGGCAACCATCCAGAAATTCAAACTCCGGCTGTGTGAAAATATTACCACTACATTCTCCTTTTTCAACACTTTGAACTTGGTAACGAAGAGTACAATATTCGCTATCCTCAGGAGGTGGATTATAGCAGTTAGTACAATTAGCTAATTTATGAAAATGTTCATATTCGTTGGTGCTCATTGAAAATAGATTAAATATTTTTTCAGCTATTATTCCACCTAATCCTTCTTTTACTAATGGCCAGTCTGATACCTTCATTATCTTTTTTTCCGAACTGCATAATAAAGCCTTTTTAATGTTGCTCATATTGTGAGTTTCCATTGTGTATTGAAAAAAATCCCAACTAGATGATCTGTGGGCTATATTTTCAATAAATACCCGATATAAGTTACCAACGTTAAGATGTGAGTGAAGAGTATTCACCAAATTTGGTGCGGATAGGTAAATTGTGACATCCAAGAAAGAAGATGAATGGGCTTTACCGCTGTAGCGTACATCAAAGTCACTTTCCATTTTCAACAACATGTCTTTGCAACCAGGACTGTCAAAGACTACTGTATGTGCGTGAAAACCTTCTTTTCTGCTTTTTACAAAAAAGTCACTCTCGCCTTTAGTAAGGTATTCAGTAGAAAAAGTAGTGATCTGTGCTAACCAACCTCCCAATGAATGTCCAGTAATAGACAGAGTCAAGCTCGCTGATTGTTTTCTATTGAACTCTTCCACTTCAACTGCAATTTTATTGGAAAAAGTAATTGCAGAGCTTATTTGAGAAGTATATTCATTCGATAAAATACCTTCATAGTCCGCCCAAATATCTTTCATGCTTTGAGCTTTTAAGCCTTTAAGCTCTGTACCTTTATGTGCAATAACTACTTGCTGGAGATCAGGATTCCAATATGCTGCACCAAAATAACCGTCACCAGAGTTTTCTGACGTGGTCAACAAAACCCAACCATTTTCCAGTGGATTAAGAAAAGTTTCTCTTTCACGATATACTCGAGATGAGAATTCTGCTAACTCATAAACACTGGGATAAATGAACTTATCAAGGTGAATAGATCTTGCATCACTAGTATTTTGAATCACTGATATGAAATTTTCATTACTGAATTCTAAATTAGCTACTTTTAATTTCTTGCTGTAGGGAAAGGTCATTTTAGCTTGAGATTTTTCTTTTCACTTGTAGTGTAGAAGCTTTTCTTCTTCAAAAGATTTTCCACTTAGTTTCATTGCCTTCCTTAATTCATCCAAGACTTAATTCCTCATCAGCGCCACCTGGTTTTTTAAAAAAATGAAAAGTCATTAGTTTTAAAACTCTCTTTAAATTACTAAATAGTAACTTTATGTACGCAACTCAAAAGGTTTTGTGGAAACAACCATATTCTTAAGATTTATGAACGATTTACTATAATCTATTTTATGTCTCTATTTTAAGTCCTAAAACATCCTCATGAATTCAGACTTTTATTCGAAATGTAAATAAAGTTACCAAGGACAAGGAAATTTTTTTTATCTCTTTTTAATCCACTATTTACACATTCAACTTGATCAAGTATTTTTAACTATTACCTCCTTAATATATTTTTTATAATAAATCAATTATTTAGTATTTTCTCATGCTCAATCAATTTTCTTATGCTTTGATGCTCAATCAAAGAAATTACGGTTTTGCGTCTGATTTCGTAACTTAAAATATTGTCTGCTCTAATTAATTATCATATATAAGGTAATACGCCTTCCAACAATTAAAATTGTATCCAAGTACGTTAAAAATAGATGATCAGATCAAAAGTTTATCTGGGTTTTCTTTTTTTTTGCGCTAAACTTTATAAAAAATTCGAATAAATAAATAAATAAGAGTTCGATAAAATTACACTGTGTTCGTTTACTGCAAATTACATTGCGTTCGCTTACTGCAAATTTTCTTTGAAAACTCGGGGTGGGGATTAATGGACAATTTGCACCCCTCCATCAACTGTTTAGTTAAAAGAATATATAGTAACACACTAAAAAGAATGGATATTCAAATCTTATGAAACTGTTTTTGTATTTTTACGCAAACATTTCCTGGTATATGCTCTGATCGAAATTTTGTCAAAGTGACGAAATAACTATTTCCATTTCCTAGTTGACGAGGAAATGAATTTTTTCAAAACTAAAGAAAACTTTAATTTATTTACTTTATTTTTCAAAAAAAAAGTAGATCACTTTTTCATGTGAACCATACAAATGAATCAACGTCACTTAAACAAGGACTGATGGAACGGAGAGACCAAAGTGTGGCCAACGCAGCACCAAAACATAACAAATTTAATAAAAAATAAAACATACGAAGCTAAAAATAGAAAATTAAAATTCAGAAAAACTGCAGAAAAAAAACACAAAATATAACATATAACGCAAGTAGCAAATTCGAATGTATTTCAAAAATGATTTAACACATTTTCGCAACAAGTTTACAAAATTTACCTTAGATTTCCAGATTTATCTTAGTTACCTTGAATTAGCCGGAAAATAGATGTGTGCAAAGTAATAATATTATTCTGGATAATTCAAAATTTATATTTAATAAGGCTTAATTTTATTTTTGGAACTTTAATTATGATGATTTTCAGAAAAATCATTATCATTTAATGAAAAAAAAATATTGAAAATATTCTTTATTAAGTAGTAGAAGATTTTTTAGCCACGGATTGTCCATGATAAAAATAATTTTTTTTTCAGCAGACACATTTTTAATATATTCATTATATCTATAACATACGATTACTTCAATGATTTTATTAAGATCTTAATTTTATTATTTAGAAAGCCATTGTTTTTTTTTATCAAATTTCAGAGGAGTCAGACTGTTTGTTTTTTCGATCAATAAACATTACTGTAAATTCTTTAAGTTCAAATAATTTGATTAAAAGTGGTATTTGGAATTGTAATGTGACCAAGAGTATAAATGCTCTTAGAAACAATGCAATTCGACGTATTTAAATTTAAAATTTATACTTTTATCGTATAAGTCAGCAATGCAGATATTTTCTTTTTTAATACTTAAATCCAAAAAAATTATAACGAATATAATCGTCATAAAAACGAAGCAAGATTAATTCCTAGGGGTAAACATTTCCTGGTATTTCCTGCAATTTAACAAAATTATATCCTCTTGAAAATATTTGTAAATTAAATATTTGATAATTAAATAATCAAAAAATTTAAAAACAAATTTAATACAAAGTTTATAATTTTTTTAAAATCATAGTATAGAAAGAAGTTTGCTATAAGTGATGAAAAATTTGATCCTTATAGTATCTCACGCATTTAAACGAAAAATGTTTTTCGTTGTAAAGATAATTTAAAAAAAAGACAAAGATTAATTAGAATTTGCCATCAATCAAAATAACAATTAAAAATGTTTTTATAATCATACTAATAAGTCAAAACAACATCGTCTATTTTGTAAAGGTGATTGCTATTGAAGAGATCTTGGAAAACAAAAGTCGCAATAGAATTAATTTTATTTTGTTTAATTCTAAAATTGGTTGCTTATTAGTGATAATCCAAAAAAAAACTATTATCTTTAATAATATTGTTAATAATTTTATTCAAGTAGTTGGAGAAAATATAGCCAGTAATTTGTAAGAAAGTATTAGACAGAGAAGTAATTGTTCTAAATTTAATAGAAATTTTATGAAATTTTGGATTAACTTAAGTATGGAAATTGTATATTATTAATTTTAAATTTTAACCTCGTATAAAAAGTCAAAACATTTTTTAATGTTATTATCTAAATTACGAAGATGAATTTNTGACTAATGAAACCTGAATTTTCCTTTCCATCTTTTACCTGCTGTTTATATTTCTTCATTTCGGTTATTTTGTCATCTTCAAGAAACTTTTCTGAATCGTTTTCCCAAAGCAGTGCATCTAAAGATAACAAGGTATATTTTCGTAAAAACGATTCATGTAGTATTTCATATTCTGGTCCAGATTTTGTTGTATCTAATATCTGCTTTTCTGCAAGATGCCTTTTGTATTTCATTTCAACAAATAATTTATAAAGGTTCATAATATTTATTTTTTTCGACAAATTTAATTCATTTTTGTTGAACAGTTTATAAGGGGTTTTGAATTCTTCCTGAAAAGCCTCAACCAGCATTTTTATGTGCAAGGGTATTCCTGTAAATTCCTGAAATTTATCCGAAATGGGTTGCAGTACACTGTCAAGCAATTGTTTGGCGAAATTCTCAAAGTTCTCCTTAATATTTAGCTTCAGATTCTTATGGAAATAATTTTGAATAAGCAGCAACTGATCTTCTCTAGATAGTGGTCTTAGAGTATACGAAAGTACACTTAATACATCTTCTAATTCATTTTTCATGTGTGGGCGTGTAGTTATCCACAGTTTTTCTGCTTTTGAATTCTTCAAAACTCTTAATAGTTCAGCAATTTTCTCTTCGTATTTAGGAACTTTTTCATCAAATCCATCAAATAACAAGGCAACTTTACCTACAGCATCTAATCTGTGTTTAAATAACTCTTGCTCTAGAGGTGTGTTTATTAATGCTATGTCCATTATAAATTTAAAAATTGTGTCCTTATCATTATGAAAATCGACTTTTTCTAGCTTTCCTGTACAATCATTCAAGTTAATTCTCACAATCCAAAGGGAGGCATCATTGTTTTTCATATTGTGAGCTAATTTAGTCAATACAGTGGATTTCCCCGCACCAGACTGTGAACTTATAACTACTATTCGCTCATGCAATTCACGACATTCATAACCATCATCCGTGTCTAAATACCTGCGCAATCTCGATGTAGCACCCCGAGAATTTTGCCACATAAATCGATCATCATCCTCTTTTAGCCAATGAATATTACGGTTCTCATGCTCAATACAAATTTTATCAAAATCGCTCCTGGAATAGGAAATCAGCAATATATCTTGATACTGCCTAAGTTCAGATGAAACAATCCGACCGTTATAAGTAAGGTAGAATTTTATATCATTTTTAATGTATTTTTTAATTTTTGGCTGTGTAAAAATGCGATCAATATAGTAACTCTGAATATCACCCAAATCTGGAAGCGCTTTACCTACCTCTATCGCTTCATTGTTGATAAGTTTGGATAATGTTTCTTCTTCTACCAGATGTGATGACTCACTTGTTATTAATTTACCCAAGCTTATCTTTCTCCCTTGAAAGTAAATTTTTTTCTCTAAGAGTTGCTTTTGAGAATCATAGGTTAAGTCATCAAGTTTTATTTTTTTATCATCCCTTCTTTCACAATTAAAATTATTCTTATTTCCAAAACAAAATTTTAAATCACAATTCCTTTAAGAAACTAGAATAAACTTATGCTTCGGTTTATCTTCGAAAGCCCTAAATAATTCTTTAAAATGAGTTTTAAATAGTTCTTCTCTGTTTTTAACTGATTCATTGTTATATTCAACCACGAATAGCATAAAAACGTCCTTATCCGATTGCTTTACAAATTTATTCAACGGAAAAAACTGCTCTAAATTTAGAAGCTGCTTCAGACTGAGAAAAAAGGTTTGATACTCATTTTTTGTCTTTTTCAGAACTTTATGTATTTTTTTTATTCCTATTATAGGATGGACTTTAAATATAAGATGTAAAAATTGCAAGTTTGCGTCTTTTAAGAAACCATCAAAATCTATTGTAGCCTGTTTAAATTCAATATATTCAATTGACAGAAGATAATCCAGAGACTGTTTTCTGTAAACATCATTAAAAGCATCCAGAGTATCTAATTTAGATTTTATTTCATGGTGTATAGTTGGAAAAACGAACAAAGCATTTTTGACACAAATAATCAATTTTTGAAGTTTTTCTCCAATCCCGTATTTGATGAAATTCTAAACCTTGCAATATTTCTTCAATTATATTTGCATTCAATACTCCTTTTGTTTCTGTATCAAGCGAAGAAAATAAGTCATCAGCGTTAGGAAGCATCGAAAATTGCTTTAACCTGCGGCAACCATCTAGAAATTCAAACTCCGGCTGTGTGAAAATATTAGCACTACATTCTCCTTTTTCAACACTTTGAACTTGGTAACGAAGAGTACAATATTCGCTATCCTCAGGAGGTGGATTATAGCAGTTAGTACAATTAGCTAATTTATGAAAATGTTCATATTCGTTGGTGCTCGTTGAAAATATATTAAATATTTTTTCAACTATTATTCCACCTAATCCTTCTTCTACTAATGGCCAGTCTATGACCTTCATTGTCTTTTTTTCCGAACTGCATAATAA